GACAGTCAAAACTTGCAAGATGACATCAGTTGTACTTTTATTTTAAGTTCACAATTTTAACATCTAGCCTAGTCTTTCAACAAAGTACAGACATACCTAAGGGATATTGCAGGTTTGATTTCAGACCACAGTAAAAAAAATTTAAAAAAATTTAAAAAAATTATATATATATATATATATATATATAATCTCATTGAAATAAAGCAAGTCAGACATATTTTTTTGTTTCCCAGTGCATATTCAAATTCTGTTTACACCATACTGTTGTTTATGAAATGTACAGTAGCATTATGAGAAAAGCTAAATTATCAAAATGTGATGCACAGACATGAAGTGAGCATAGGGTGTTGGAAAAATGGTGCTGATGGGCTCGATCAACAAGGTTGTAACAAAAGTTCAATCTGTAAAAAGCATATCTTTGAAGTTCAGTAAAGTGAAGCACAATAAAATGAAGCATGTCTGTAGTGATTCAATAAGTGTTTTTTTAAAAAAAAAATTTAATGAGTGACTACTCACTATAAAGAAGCTGTGCTTCAATCCCAAAGGTATATATGGTTTGAGGCCACAAGCTGCTCCATGGAAGAAGGATGGGCAATCTCCTCCTGGTGATTAACTGCTTCTGAAAACCCACTGGAGGGCCAGCTGTGGGTTGATTATCACTCTATGGTACACACCGCCACCACCACAACTCTCTCTAAACCCACTAACTCCCTTTAAGTCTATTTCTACTCATTGTTGTTGTTGTCAGATTGACTATGACTCATAGAGAGCCTATGAGTGACAGATCTGCTTTGTAATAGAACCTTGCTCTATGCTACCCCAGCCTCACAATCTCTGTCATGCCCAAGCCCATTGTGGTAATCATGGCACTAATTTTTCTTGTTGAGGGTCTTCCTCTCTTTAGCCAACCTTCTAGCAATCCTATAAGATAGAGTAGGAAGCCCCATAGAGCTTCCAAGGCTGTAAATCTTTTTGGAAGCTTACTGCCACATTTTTCTCCTGCAGAATGGCTGGTGGATTTGAGCTGCCACATTTTAGTTAACAATCTAGTACTTAATTTACTGTGCCATGAGGACTCCTTTAGAACTATTATAGTTTTATACTATTCCTTTCATTAAAGATGCATAATACTTGTTTGTACCCAATTTTATCATTATGTACAAATAAGAAGGATTTTTAGTTATAAATTTGACCTTAGCTGCAGAAATGAGGCCAGAGAACATGTGATACAACTGTACTACCAACAACTCATTTATTTCAAATACCTTTTTTTTTTAAAAGAAAACCGAACAACCATAAACAATGACTATACCCGAGGACCTTATCTGATAGAATACCCAAGAATCAAATGGACTAACTTGTGCAAAGAGATGGTAGAGAATGTCAGAATATGCCTAGGGACCAGCTATGGAAAAACCATCAATTGCTCATATAACATTTGAACTGAAGCTAAAGGAAATGAAAATAAGTGCCACCTGAATATGGAGACCATCTCAAGAAAATATGAACAGAACACTAATGATATAACAAGTGTGGAGTAACCTCAAAGATATCATCCACAAAGGGAAAAAAAAGATGTTCATCAAAGATAGGAAAGAATGAAAAGACAAAAATAGATGTCAGAAGAGATTGAAACTTTCTCCTAAATATACAGAAGCTAAAGAAATTTTGAAGAGAGCTGGAAAGATTTCGAGGGGCAGAAAACAAAGCAAGGGATTATAAGGAAATGGAAGAAGACCCAGAATTAGAAAACCAAAAGAGAAGAACATGCCCAGCATTTCTCAAGCTGAAAGACCTGAGGGAGAAATTAAAACCTTAAATGACAATACTGAAAGATGCTATGGGCAAAATATTGAACTACACAGGAAGCATCAAAAGAAGATGGAAGGAATGCACAGAGTCACTATACCAAAAAGAATTGGTTGGTGCTCAATCATTTCATGAGGTTGTGTATTAGCAAGAATCAATGGCACTGAATGAGCAAGAGCTACACGGAAAGGTGTTAGTGGAAAATAACAAGGCTTCAGGGATTGTCAGAATACTAATAGGGATAGTTCAACAAAGAGATGCAGCCCTGGATGTGTTCATTCATCTATGCCAAGAAAGTTGGAAGACAAACTACCTGGCCAACCAACTGGAAGAGATCAAGTTTTGTGCCCATTTAGTTGAAAAGTTATTCAAAAGAAGGCAGACATTACTGGGCAATATAATTAATATCACATGCAAGTGAAATCTTGCTGAAGATAATAAAAGATAAGTTACTAGAGCAATACATCGACAAAAAATTGCTAGAAATTCAAGCTGTACTCAGAAGAGGCCATTGGAACAAAGTAATCATTGGTGATGGTAGGTGTATCTTGACTGAAAGTAAAAAATACCAGAGGTATGCTTACTTACAATTTATTGACTGTAAAAGCATTCCACAGTGTAGGTATAAGTGAATTATGGATATATACATGATGCTGGGAAGGGTGGAGGATTGGCAAAGGAGAGGAAGACCCTTAACCATGTGGATTGACCCAGTGACTGGTGCAATGGGCTCTTGTGTGTCAGGAAGTGTGAGGATGGCACAGGATAGAACAGGGTTCAGATATTTTGTTCATGGGGTTTCTATGAGTTTTAGTTGATTTGACGGTGCCTAACAACAAGAATAATAAAATGCTGATGGTGTGGCGATGGCTGGGAATAATCTCCACTAACTTCACAAGGGGGAACCGTCCCCATCAACAACTTCCACAGGACAAAACTAATTCCTCTGGGTCCAGATATACTCCCACACTCCCCTCTCAGGTTCTCACTGTTCTAGTACTGGATCTATAATCTGTTGCAATAACCACACAGAACTCACAGACAATTCTTTTGATTTCCAGGCTTTACGAGGAATGTTAGCAAGTTATAATTCAGGTTGGCAACAGGATGCAATTCTTCACTCAGGACAACTTCTCAAGGGGGCTGATAAGCCCTTTGACCTTCAGTCCCTTGGCTGTAGATCGGTGTTGCAAAGTTTTCTTAGTCCTGCCAATCATGAGTCTTCCAGTAGGCTTGGACAAAGATCACTGGCTCTGACTCTGTGGGATGGCAGTCTCAAGTCAGCTCTGTTCATCAGTCTCTGGTTCTTCACTGTGGTTGATGCTGTTATCTTCTACATCCCTGTCTTGCTGGTGCAGGAAACCCTGGCCCTGAAGAATGCATGCAGCAATCTCTGATGCTTCTTTGTTGCTGGTAGTGAGATTCTCATATTCTATTTCTAATTTTGTTCTATTTAAACCTGGTGGGATGGCAAAACTGACCAATTCCAGCATGAGTCATTTATATGCCTTATTTGCATGTTCTCGCCTAGCCATGTGGCAAGTCAAAGGCAAAGGCTTTGGAAAGCCATTTTGAACAACAAATCCACTATATCACAGAATGACATTGTGAACAACAGAACATGTACATAGATCAAGAGACAATTGATAGAACAGAACAAGGAGATATTGCATGATTTAAAATCAGGAACGATGTGTGTTAGGGCTGTGTTCTTTCACCATACCTGGTCTATCTGTATGCTGAGCAAATAATCAAGAAGCCAGACTATAACTGAAAAAGAGCATGACATCAGGATTGGAGGAAGACTCATCAATAACCTGTTTTATGCAGATGAGAGAAGCATATTTGAAGAAAATGAAGCTTTGATGCACTTTGATGAAGCCCACCATGTAAGTTCTTGACTGCTGCTCCTATTGATATTAGTTGTGGTGCAAAGTAAAATGCCTAGATGAGAGTTAACGATGAAGCTCAGACATCAGCCCTCTCTCTCTCTATACAGATACCACCTCAACATCAAGAAAACAAAAAATTCTCAAAACTGGACCAATAAGCATCGTGAAAAATAGAGAAAAGATTAAAGTTGTCAAGGATTTCATTTTAGGATCCACAATCAATACTTGAAGTAGCGGTCAAGAAGTCAGAGGATGTATTGCATTGGAAAAATCTACTGTCAAATACCTCTTTCAAGTGCTAAAAGTTCAAAGGTGTTGTTTTGAAGATCAAGGTGCTATGTGCTCAAGCAGTGGTATACTCTATGCATGTGAAAGTTGGACAATGAAAAGGGAAGACCAAAGAAGAGTTTCTACCTTTGAATTGTGATGTTGAAGAATATTGAATATACTATGAACTGCCAAAAGAACAAACAAATCTGTCTTGGAGGAGGTGCAACGAGAATGCCCATTAGAAGCAAGGAGAGTGAGACTTCATCTCATATGCTTTGGGCATGTTATCAAGAAGAGTCTGCCCAATGTAATTCATCCTTTGATTTCTTGACTGTTGTTTCCATAGATGTTAATTGGAATCCAAGTAAAATGTCTAGGTGAAAATTAATATTAATAAAATATTCCCTCACCAAACCTTGTTGTTGACTTAGTGTGAGCAGTCAGTTTAAATTTTATAATTTAAATGAAATTGATGAAACTAGGTGTCAGACTATAAAATTACGTGTCAAACTATGAAACTATGGGAACTCTGGTGGCCTAGGGGTAAGAAGCTGTGCTGCCAATCTAAAGACACAGTTTGAATCCACCAGTTGCTCCATGGCAGAAGGATGGGCAATCTCCTCTCATGAGATTTACTGCCTCTGAAAACCCACTGGAGGGTCAGCTATGGGTCAGTTTCAATTGGACAGAACACAACAATAGCAAAAACAACCCGTCTACAATCTCATCCCCAAAAGCCCTCTTGATGAGTTTCTGACCGACACAATGACTTCTTATTATTTCCAAATATTGAAATAAATGATGTGTGAATGATATTGAAATAAATGATGTGTGAATGTATATTATATATGACTATTATCTTTTAAAATATCTTATTAACAGTATTTCTTTATCTTTCCTCAGTCAAACCCTGAGCCAATCACTTCCCCCAGGCTGCCTGGGGAGTTACAGGGAAAGGAACACATAGGGTAGATGAGACATGGGGAGAGAAAACCAACAAACTATGGGAGGTGGAGATGGCTCCTTCACATGGCGAAGAGGATCAGAAAGGCCACCATCAGGCAAAAGAGCGCCATGGCTTCTGAGAGGGCAAAGCCCAGAATGGTGTAGGAGAAGAGCTGCTGCTTCAGAGAAGGATTCCTGGCATAACCAATGTTGAGGCTCCCAAACACAGTCCCAATCCCAGCTCCAGAGCTGGCCACTCCAACCGTGGCAGCCCCCGCCCCAATGAACTTGGCTGCTGTGTCAATATCCCTTGAGACAGTGCTGGTTTGGAAATTGCGACTAGGGACAAATGAAATCAAGGAACGTGGGGCTGTCAAGCAGCTGAAATTCTCATCTCTCAGTGTCTCTGGTTGTTTCAGGACCACTTCAGACAATGCAGCTGAGAGGCACTTCTGACCAGGAAAGGGGTGGAGACAAACTTGGTGCAGGTACACATTTTCAGGGGATGAGGGGCTGTGGCAGGAAAGCTGCTCCCAGTGCAGTGAAGAGAGAGAGGGGCTATATATGACTATTATTAACATCAAGGTTCTGATCTGTTGTGCATAGGGAGATTACGAGACACAGGCTACTCAATGAGACTTAGCAACAACAACAACAACAACAACAACAACAACAAGTTATTAATGTCATTTGCTCTCAGTAAGCTTAGGATATGTTTGGCCAAACTTGTTTGGATTACAGAGATTACTAGTATTTGAAAGCTCAAATAATCTCAAAACCCAAATTTTCTAAGCAGAATGAGTAAATAAATATTCAGCAACAAAGTGAGAGTGGTTGCCTGCTGACCTGCAGTATGATAATATCCATGATATAAATTCTGTTAGTAACATGAAATGAACCAGTTCATGACATTGTCGTAATTTTAACAATTGACTCTGGAGAGCTATTATGAGTCGGCCTCAGTACACCACTGATTCCAAGTTCCTTCCTTTACGTCTTCTCAGGGTTCTGAATGGCAGATAGATGTAGAAAAAGGAAGGCCACTCAGAATATGTTTAGGTTCACTCAGCTGTCACATAGGGGGAAACACACTGAACTCAGAATCAGAAGTTAAAGGTTCAAGCTTTGTTTGGTTATGCTATTTCTGAACTTCAGATCCCTCATCTGCAAAATAAAGATAATAATTCTTGCCATGCTCGCTTTATGTTGAGAATTAAATGACACAAAACATATATTCACACAAAAACTTGTATACTAAAATTCATAGTATTACTCATGCTAATAAAAAAGTGGAAACAGTGAATGCTGTCAATGAACAAATTGATAAATAAAATGTAGTGTATCCAAGTGAGTCCTAGTGGCCTAGTGGTAAGGAGCTGCGTTGGCAACCTGAAGGTATTGTGGCTCAAATCCACCAGCTGCTCCATGGGAGAAAGATGAGCAATCTCTTCCTATGCCCACTAGAGGGTCAGCTATGAGTTAGTTCCAACTCGATGGCACATGAATTTGGAACATTCAGTTAATTTGGAAATAAAATGAAAGGAAGTGCTGATATGCATTATATCATGGATGAACATTGACATTTATAGTAAGCATTGTTGTTGATTGCCTTTGAGTTGAGCACGACTCATAGTGACCGTATGAACAAAAGGCCTGAAGCCCGTCTGCCACTATTGACATTTATCAAAGTTCATAGAGTTTCCGGAGGCATGTTGTTTAGGAAGTGGATGCCACTCCTGCTTCCGAATATGTTGTTGTTGTTGTGTGCCATCAAGTCGCTTGCAACTCATAGACCCTAAGTACAATAGCCCTAAATCCTGCTCTATCCTGTGCCAATCTCACTGTCTCCAACACACCTACTTCCTCCACCCCAGTCACTGAATTGATCCATCTCATCTAGGGTCTTCCTCTCCTGCACTGTCCCTCCACCCTCTCAAGCATGATGTCCCTCTCCAGGGACTGGTCCCTCCTTGCAATATGTCCAAAGTATGTCAGACGAAGGTTCAGAATCCTTGACTCCAAGGAGCATTCCGGCTTCACCCTCTCCAGGACAAACCTGTTTGTTCTCCTACACTCTTCTCCAGCACCACAGCTCAAAGGCATCAATTCTCTTTCTATCATCCCTAGTCACGGTCCAGTTCTCTGGTGCATACCATGCAATTGCGAAGACTATAGCTAAGATTAGGCGCACCTTAGCCCCCAGCCGTCTAGATAAAGCCAAGCATAAAATTTCATATATGATATATGATTCCATCATACAAAAAATCATGAATGGGGAAGTCTACAGAGACAGAAAGATTAGTGGAGAGAGAGAGAGACAATCTCCTCCTGTAAAGACTTACATCATCAGAAGCTTAATGGAGAGTCACCGTAAGTAGGAATAGACTTGATGTCAGTGGCTTTAAAGAATTCGGCTGCTGCCCTGCTGTGATTCTGTCTTGCGTGGCTGCTCCTGGTAACAGTAGTGTCTTATTACCATCCTTCTCTCCCACACAAGTGTGAGCCGCCGACCCATGGATGATTCAATGGGTATGGACACGAACCCCCTGAGGCCCCCAAATGACCTTTTTGGTTGTGAACTGAAAGCTGCCAAAGATTATCACTTGAAGGTGGTTAATGATGAAAACGAGCACCAGTTATCTTTAAGGACGGATAGTTTAGCGGCTGGTGCAAAAGATGAATTGCACAGTGTTGAAATGGAGGCAATGAATTACGAGAGCAGCCCAATTAAATGAACACCGGCAACTTTGAAAATGTCTGCACAGCCAACGGTTTCGCTTGGGGACTTTGAAATACCAACACCTGTCATCTTACGATTGAAGCATAGCTCAGGGCCTGTGCGTATAAGTGGATAACACTTATTAGCTGCGGAGGAAGGTGTAGAGTCAGAGGATGAAGAGGAGGAGGAAGGAAACGCTTAAGTATATCAGGAAAAGGATCTGCCCCTGCAGATAGGTGGTACCTAAGTTCCACAGGAAAAGGTGAAACTTGCCACTGATGAAGATGATGACGATGATGATTATGAGTTTGAGGATGATGCAGCTGAAGAAAAAAGCACCATTGAAGAAATCTGCACGGGATAATCCGTCCAAAAATGCGCAAAAATCGAACCAGAATGGAAAAAGCCTCAAAACCATTGACTCCACGATCGAAAGGATAAGAATCTTTCAAAAACAGGAAAAAAAATACAACCCCTCCCAAAACTCAAAATGGACCTAGTTCTGAAGAAGACATTAAAGCAAAAATGCAAGCAAATATAGAAAAAGTGCATTGAACAGTTATGGGCACTACTGGTAAATTAAGCTCAAAGATGGGGAGAGAAACAGGTCTCACCCGTTTCCTGATTTGCCACCCAACCACACCCCGTGTAGGCTGGAAACAATCTTATTCTTGCTTTCCTAAGGCGTTTTCTATTGACGACTGGAATTCAGTGAACCATATTCTGCTTTTCACTTGACCTCACCTTTTTGAACATGTTTTATATACTTTGTATCTGTCTAGCTCTTCAGTAAATATTTGAATAAAAATTAAAAAAAAAAAAGAATTCGGCTGCTGACTGGAAGGGGTGTGGTTTGAACTCCCCAGTTGTTCTGTAAGAGGAAGATGGAGCAGTCTACTTCCACAAAGGTTACAGCCTTGGCAACCCTAGGGACAGTTGTACTTTATCCTCACAGGATCAAAAGGAGTAGAACCAGCTCAAGTGAAGAGAGGGTAAGGCTGCTGGGGATGGGGGACTTGGCTAGTCATGACTAAAGCACATGAAACTTCTTTTGGAAATGGCAAGATGTACCAAAATTATTTGTGATGACAGCTGCCCCTCTCCATGTACATACTTGTGTACCATTGAGTCGGAACTGACTCGTAGCTGACCCTCTGGCAGGTTTTCTTTTTCTTTTCTTTTTTACTTCTTTTTATTGTTATTATTAATTTCAATGAAAATTTACAGAGACTTTGGATTTCCATTCATTCATTGTTGCACTTTTCTCCCTGCCCACCCCTCCCCCCAGTACACTCTTCTCTTTCAAAAGTAAAAGAAAAATTCTTTCATTGCTTTACAATCCCTCCTCCCAGGTCCACTCCATCATGCAGCCTTCATTCTGGACTCCTATCATGACAAAAATACCTAATCACATATTCCTTTTAAACAGGTTTCTCCCTCATCTGTTTCAATGCAGTATACATTATTAAGCCCATCTTTCTCTGTCTCCCCCCAAACCTGAGGTCAGTCCTGTTTTATAACAGTGGCACCAGGCAGTGTTTGTCCTTTTGTGACTGAGATACTTCACTCAGCATAATGTCCTCCAGGGTCACCCATTTTGAATAATATTGCATGAGTTCCTTGTTTTTCAATGCTGCATAGTAGTCCATAGTGTGAATATACCACAGCTTCTCTATCCATTCGTTTGTTGATGGGCACTTGGGTTGTTTCCAACTCCTTGCTATTGTGAACAAAGCTGCAATAAACATGGGTGTGCCTATATCTGCATGGGTGGCAGTTATGGTCTCTTTGGGGCATATTCCCAAAGAAGACATTCACATGGCAAACAAACACATGAAGAAATGTTCAAAATCCCTAGCTCTAAGAGAGATACAAATTAAAACAACTATGAGATATCTTCTCACCCCAGTCAGAATAGCAAAATTTAACAGAACATCAAGCAACAAATGCTGGTGAGGTTGTGGAGAAAGTGGAATCCTGATTCACTGTTGGTGGAAGTGTAAAATGGTGCAACCACTGTGGAAGGCGGTGTGGCACTTTCTCCAAAAGTTGCAAATAGAGATACCATTTGACCTAGCAATTTCACTCTGGCAGATTTCCCAAGGCAGTTAATTGCATGGGAGGAGATTGCTCATTTTTCTCCCCACCACCCCATCCCAGAGCAGCTGGTAGATTCAAACCATGTGCCTTGGGGATTGCAACACAGATTTTTACCACTAGGTCACCAGAGCTCCCTAAAAAGGCCACCAGAGGGAAAAGCAGTCAGTCCAATGCCCATCAAACCATTTTGAATCACAACATAATAAAATGTACCCATTCTTCTGGCAAAGAAAAAAAAAGAGGAATGAACTACTGATATACCTTGAGCTACTATGACAAACCAATATCTTGAAGGAATTTCTAGAGAACTATATTAGTGTTGGGGGAGGGGAAGTGCCAACCTCGAAAAGTTATATGGTGTGTGATTCTATTTATATAAAGCTCTTGAAATAACTAAATTACAGATTTAGAGAACAGTGGTTTCCAAGAGTTAGGAAGGGGGTGGAGGTGGGAGAGAACTGTTGTGGATAACTTGAGGCAGTGCAAATTTTCTGTACTGACAATGTCAATATCTTGGTTGTAATATTGTATTGAATTTTACAAGATGTTACAATTGGGGGAAACTAGGTAAAGGATACATAAGATCTCTTTGTATTGGGGGAGGAGTGGGCAGGGAGAAAAGTGCAACAATGAATGAATGGAAATTCAAAATCTCTGTAAATGTTCATTAAAATTAATAAAATAGACTTTTTTCTAAAAAGGATCTCTTTGTATTATTTCTTACATATTATAGATGGATCTTAGCTGAAGGTAAGGAAGAAAGTCTATTTCTGTTTTATTGGCTATGCAAAGGCATTTGACTGTGTGGATCATGACAAGTTGTGGCTGACATTGAGAAGAATGGGAATTCCAGAGCATTTGATTGTGCTTATGAGGAATCTATATCTGCAGCAGGAGGCTGTGGTGCAAACGGAGCAGGGGAGCACTGCCTGGTTTGGAAATGGGAAGGGAGTACGTCAAGGATGTATTCTGTCTCCATACCTGTTCAATCTATATGTTGTTGTTGTTATGTGCCGTTGAGTCGCTTGTGACTCATAGTGACCCTATATACAACAGCTCTAAAACTCTGCTCTATCCTGTGCCAATCTCACTGTCTCTGACACACCCACCCCGATTACCCAAGTCACTGAATCAATCCACCTCATAGAGGGTCTTCCTCTCCTGCGCTGCCCCTCCACCCTCTCAAGCATGACATCCTTCTCCAAGGACTGGTCCCTCCTCACAACATGTCCAAAGTATGTCAGATGAAGCTTCAGAATCCTTGCCTCCAAGGAGCAGCCTGGCTTCACGCTCTCCAGGATGAATCTGTTTGTTTTCTTAGCAGTCTATGGTATCCTCAGTATTTTCTCCAACACCACAGCTCAAAGGCATCAATTCTCCTTCTATCCTTCCTAGTCATAGTTCAGCTCCCTGATGTACAGCAAGTGATTGCAAAGACCATGGCCTGTATCAGGCGCACCTTAGTCTCCAGAGTGACACCATTGCTCTGCAGTATTTTGGAAAGGTCCCTAACAGCAAACTTTCCCATGGCAATACGCCTTTTAATTTCCTGGCTGCTGGAGCCGAGAGTGTTGACTGTGGAGCCAGGCAAACTAAAGCTGTGAACAATCTCAATCTCTTCACCATCCATCCTGATGCTGCCAATTGCTCCAGTGGTGAAAATCTTTGTGTTCTTGATATTGAGCCTCAGTCCATATTGAAAGCTGCAGTCCTTAATCTTCTGCAGCAAGCGCTTCAGGTCTTTCTCAGTTTCAGCAAGCAGGGTTGTGTCATCTGCATAACGCAGATTGTTGATAGATCTTCCACCAATCCTGATGCCACACTTCTCCTCATAGAGCCCAGCCTCCCTGATATTCTGTTCTGCCTATAGGTTGAAAAGGTATGGAGATAGGACACATCTCTAATGTACAACCCTCCCAATTTTGAACCATACAGTGTTTCCTTGCTCTGTTCTGACGACTGGCTCCTGGTCCAAGTACAAGTTTCACATAAGCACAATTAAGTGTTCTCGGATGCCCATTCTTCTCAGAGTCAGCCACAGTTTGTTGTGATCCACACAGTCAATACATAGCCTTTACATAGTCAATGAAATACAGATAGACATTCCTCTGGTACTTTCTGCTTTCAGCCAAGATCCATCTAACATTAGCTACAATATCCCTGGTGCCACAACCCCTTCTAAACCCAGCCTGGACTTCTGACAGTTCTCTGTTGATGTACTGTTCCAGTTGTTTTTGGATAATTTTCATCAGAATCTTTCTTGGCATGTGATATCAATGATATTGTTTGATAATTTTCACACTCTTTTGGGTCACCTTTCTTTGGAATGGGAACAAATATAAATCTCTCCCAGTCAGTTGGCCAAGTGGTTGTCCTCCAGATTTCTTGATACAACTTGGTGAGCACACCTAGGGCAGCATCTGTTAGTTGAGACACATCAATTGGTATACCATCAATTCCTGGGACTTATTTTTTGTCAATTCATTCAAAGCAGCTTGAAGCTGGACTCTATGAAGAGGAATGTGGCA